CACCGCCGACACAAACCGCCCCTACGCGCTGCCGCAATGGGCTGCCCTGCAGTGTCGCTCCGCCGCAACGGGTTTCCCAGCCACGCCGCCTCGTCGAACAATCGCAAATGGTTAGCCCTTCGTGTCGCCTCGTCGCACCGATGCAACTAGTTGCATGGCCGCTCCGCCGCATCGCCTCGTGGCTCTACCACAACAGGTTGCCCCGCCACGCCGTCGCGTCGCGCCGCCACAACGGGTTGCCCCTCCATTCCGCCACAATAGGTTGCCTCGCCGTGTCGCGCCGTCGGAACAGGTTGCCCCGCTGCAACGCGTCGCCCTGACACACCGCTGCACCTATATCCTCTCCTTCAGACCCCTATTTATATGCTCAAAAAGAGTCTTGGTCAATAAATGAGTATTAATATAGAAACCTAAAAAGAAGTGCAAACATTAAATGTTCATAAATAATAATGAATAAAAACTTTTTATATTAAAAAAAAATCATTTCAATTTTTATTCCTTCTCTTTTGCCCTTTCAAATTTCTTAATCTCTTTAAATTCCTTTATAAAATATTATTTATTATATTTTAGGTGTGATTCGAACCCCCCCTCCCACATAAAGTAAAAGATACTAACAAACTAAGCTGAGTTTAACTTTCTATTTATACAAGAATAAAAATTATTCTTAACTAAGTAAGATATACATATTCTTATACATAAATATTCCAGATATCGATATTTTTAGACGATAAAAAGGATCTCGCCCAAAAATAGGAGGGCGAGTGATACACCACCAACAAATTTTCATCATCCAACACAAATCTCGAGGCTTGGCATAAATCTCAAGATGATAAAAAACATTCAAATCGTGATAAAAAGTCATCAAGAGCTCTGATTTCAGCAAACTTATAGCCAAATTGACCTGTTCAATCTGTTCAATGAGACGGGTCTAATGATCTGAAAACTAGCCCATTCCAAGTCAAATCAAGCTCAGATTAAGTCATTAAACCACAATTATAAGACTTATGAATACATTTGGAAAATCAAACGGCTGTCAAATATGACAAGTTTATACTCAAATTGAGCGGCTCGACAAGACGAATCCAACGAGCCCAAGATCAATCAATTCTGACATCATTATAACACTCAAATGTCCATTAAATGTCGTATGATTGAGGGAAGCTCTCTGGACCGTCCGATCAAAATAGTTCATATTCCTGCATTGATTGCACCTAAAACACTATAAATAGAGCTTTGTCATTCTCATGAGAGACGAGGAAATCTAGAGAGAGCTTGAGGTCTTGAGGGAAAGCTTCAGCTCAACATCATCACCAATCATCGTCGACCACCGCCGACCTCCGTCGTCGACCACCGCCGACCGTCGTCGACCACTGCCGATTGTAGTTGACCATCGTCGATTATCGTCAGCATCCACCCATCGTCATCAATCACCACCAACCAGATGTCGTCAGTCGACATTATAATATGAAAAATATAATTATCATTTCCCGTTTGTAGGACAAGAGATTTTTGTAATCATCAATTAATAGTAGATTTCCACAATTGGGTCAGACCCCGTGGTTTTTCTCTAACGAGTTTTTCACTTAAAAACTTATGGAGTCACACCGTTTGTTTTCTCTTTCATTTGTAAGTACGCTGAACTTTCGTACAATGCTAAGACGATAGTCCGTTACTCTACCGCCGCGAAATTACTAGCACGTATCATGGATAAAGTTTACATGGTTTTACCATTCATTGTTATGCTCTCTCTCTTTGTTTCATCCCTTTTACGCTCTATTCCTTAGGTATTTTTTTAGGATGGGTTTGAATTCAACAAATATAATATTAATTTATCAATATGATTCACGAAACAAGCATTCTCTTTCTATTTTATAAATCTCAATGTTTTGGATGGTTGCTGCATGTAATTTTCCCAAAATTTATATCATACTTATTTTCAAATTTTAAGGTTGACTTCGTTCGATGTAAAAATATTTTGTTCAAAATTAAATTTTTTGATCCCTTATTTTTATATAATTTACAGGATTTGTTGACTTGATCAAAATATTTTATGTGGAAATAGTTTGCGAAAAAATAATTGGCCATTTTTTACCAGATATTCCACCCAACTTTGGCGCTACTAAGGTTAAGAACACGAAAAGAATAGGCAAGGAGGGCCCACCAGATGTAAGTGGGTCGAACTGGGTTTTTTAAAAACGGGTCTCTATACTTTACCTTATTTTTTCAACAGTCAAAAGTCCGGGGGTAAAGCTGTACTTATGACGAGACGCGTCTCGAACGGCACCAAGCCGCACAAACGACCAAATAAGGCGTGGATTTTGTTTGATATGTGATGATTTTATTTATTTTTTTTATTAAATATTGGTGCCGAAATATAAACTAAATATAAAAGATGGCTTTTACTTAAAAGGCACCTAAAATTTTTCCTATTTATATATCTCACATCTTAATTTTCATAATTAAAAATATTAATTAAAAAATAACAATCATTATCACATTTTAATAGTCAAATATATCTTTTCATCCCTATATAAAATAATATATGTGAAAAAATATAAATTTAATCCATAAAAAATATGAGCTATGTAGGATCTGTTTGGGGGCAGCTTCAACTTATTGAATAATTTGCTGATAAACTGATTAAAAATAATCTATTGATAAACTTGGTGCGCTGGGTATTACAAATTTTTATTTTTTTTTAGAAGCTGACTACTGTCAGAAAGCTGTCACCGCAACTAGATAGGTGCATTGTGAAAACATTATTTTCAAAACACATAAGCTGCCCAAATGCAGTTTACCCAAACAGACCAGATGCATTTTCAAAACATCATCGCATCAAATAAGCTGCCCCTTAGTCATCTGCTATATTATATACTTCATAGATAATTTATGAGATTACATCATTTTTGGACATTTGATTTGGTCAAAATGATCTCAGTTTAAAATATGAAGAAAATACATTAAAATGATAATATAATAGAAATCATAAAAGGTATATATATAAATACAAAAATTCTAAAAAAAGCGAAAATATGAGAAAACTAATGCAATATTTGATTTTAAATAATTGAACATGTATTTTTAAGATAAAAAATATAACTAAGTGAAAATAAAATATCATCATCTTCTTAGGAGTGGACAGAACTAGCTATATTTATTGAGATATGAGCAAAATTATTAAATATTTAATTTTTTTAAATAATGGGGATATATATAT